AACTTTGGTATTTATGGCGTCGATATTCGACGTCATAAACACGATAAACTTTGCTGTTTAGGACGTCGATATTCGACGTCATAAACACGATCAACTATAGTGTTTATGACGTCGATATTCGACGTGATAAACACGATCAACTTTGGTGTTTATGGCGTCGGTATTCGAAGTCATAAACGCGATCAAATTTAGTGTTTATAACGTCGATATTCGACGTCATAAATACGGTCAACTTTGGTATTTATGGCGTCGATATTCGACGTCATAAACACGATAAACTTTGCTGTTTAGGACGTCGATATTCGACGTCATAAACACGATCAACTATAGTGTTTATGACGTCGATATTCGACGTGATAAACACGATCAACTTTGGTGTTTATGGCGTCGGTATTCGAAGTCATAAACGCGATCAAATTTAGTGTTTATAACGTCGATATTCGACGTCATAAATACGGTCAACTTTGGTATTTATGGCGTCGATATTCGACGTCATAAACACGATAAACTTTGCTGTTTAGGACGTCGATATTCGACGTCATAAACACGATCAACTATAGTGTTTATGACGTCGATATTCGACGTGATAAACACGATCAACTTTGGTGTTTATGGCGTCGGTATTCGAAGTCATAAACGCGATCAAATTTAGTGTTTATAACGTCGATATTCGACGTCATAAATACGGTCAACTTTGGTATTTATGGCGTCGATATTCGACGTCATAAACACGATAAACTTTGCTGTTTAGGACGTCGATATTCGACGTCATAAACACGATCAACTATGGTGTTTATGATGTCGATATTTGACGTGATACACACGATCAACTTTGGTGTTTATGGCGTTGATATTCGACGTCATAAACACGATCATATTTGGTGATTATGACGTCGATATTCGACGTCATAAACACGATCAACTTTGATGTTTATGACGTCGATATTCGACGTCATAAACACTATCCACTTTGGTGTTTATGACGTCGATATTCGACGTCATAAGCACTATTCACTTTGGTGTTGATGACGTCCATATTCGACGTCATAAACACGCTCAACTTTGGTGGTTATGGCGTTGATATTCGACGTCATAAACACGATCATATTAGGTGATTATGACGTCGATATTCGGCGTCATAAACACGATCAACTTTAATGTTTATGACGTCGATATTCGACGTCATAAACACGATCAACTTTGGTGTTTATGACGTTGATATTCGACGTCACAAGCACGATCAACTTTGGTGTTTATGGCGTCGATATTCGGCGTCATAATCACGATCAACTTTGGTTTTTATGAGGTCGATATTCGACGTCATAAGCACGATCAACTTTGGTGTTTCTGACGTCGATATTGGACGTCATAAACACGATCAACTTTGGTGTTTATGACGCACATACATACATACATACATACATCAACTTTATTTAAACACGGAAAATCATCAGTATAGTAATATTTACAAAAATATTAAAAAATTTTAAAAGGAGCAAAAAGAAATATAGATACTGTTCTACCTGATTGCCGTGTGGGAGTCAGATCGATTATTAGTAAGAAGGCTTCTAAACCTGTCTTAAATGCAGCGAGAGAGGTTACTGATCTAAGAGATTCTGGCAGGCCATTCCATAAAGAGGCTCCACTGTAACTGAAGGAGCGTTTCAAATAATCTGTGCGTGGTTTTGGGACATAAAGTTTACCATAAGAATCTCTCAGGTTATAAACACTCTCACTGGGAGAAAACATCTCTTGTAAATAGAATGGTGTATGTTTATTAATAGTATTAAACATGAGGATTGGCTTTTGCTTTAATCGCTTAGTGGACAATGATTCCCAATTAAGTTCTTCAAGAAGAGAACTTGATGAAATATCATAAGATGAACGGGTAATAACACGGGCGGCCCTATTCTGTAATTTTTGTAATTTTTCGCTTTGCTTTTTACCTAGGCCATCCCAAACAGGGGCACAATAGGAAAAATAGGGCTCCACCAAACTTTGGTAAACTCGAATTGCAGTTTCTGTGGTAATAAAATCTCTCATTCGTTTGAAAGCGCCGATACCCGAAGAGACTTTTTTGGTGATATTATCAACATGATATTTCCAAGTCAAGTTCTCATCAATTGTTAAACCTAATGACTTAGACTTCAGCACTCTATTAATCTGTTTATTGTTAACACATACTTCCACATTCTGATTATCAAAGGTTGAAAGTATTTGACGAGATCCAATAATCATAAATTCAGTCTTGGCAATATTTAAACTTAACTTATTTGCCTCTAGCCATGTGTTTAAATTGGCTATTTCAGCATTCATAAGATTTTCTAGCTCAGAAAGATTATTACTTTGCATGCTGATGTTCGTATCATCAGCATACATTCTAGGTAAACCCTCGTTCAAGCAGTTAGGCAAGTCATTGATATAGATCAAAAACAGAAGTGGGCCAATAATAGAGCCTTGTGGAACTCCATGGGAGATAGAACGACTACCAGAGAGTTTGCCATTTACGTAGCATTTCTGTTTTCGATTGTTTAAATAGGAATTAAACCACGATAGCGCATTGTCATCCACACCATAACACTTGAGTTTACGTATAAGAATTTCGTGATCAATTGTATCGAAAGCTTTCTTTAGGTCAATGAAGATCACTCCGTTAAGCAAACCATTATCAATATTTACGCACCAGTTATTAGTCGACTCTAATAAAGCTGTAACGGTACTATATGATGCTCGAAACCCTGACTGATAGTTCGACAGTAAGTTGTTACTTGTCAGATAGGAGTAAAATTGGTCATAAACGGTTCTACCAAAAACTTTGGCAACCGCCGAAATAATTGAAATTGGACGATAATTACTTAGATCACATTTTTCGCCATTTTTGAATATAGGTAAGACTTTTGCCATTTTCCAATCAGTCGGATAAATCCCCATAGAAAGTGATCTATTAAAAATTCTGGTTAACGAGGGTGAAAGAATATCAGCGGCTATTTTCAATAATCTACCTGGAATTTTATCAGGGCCGGTCGCTTTGTTAGCATTAATCGTTTTTAGCAAACAATTTACAGTGGACAAACCAATTTCCTCGAAAGAAAACACACTATGTGTGGATTGAATATAAGAAACGGGATTAACATTCGAGCTAGGTATTTTGTTCGCAAGTTTCTCTCCTATCGAGGTGAAATATGAATTAAAGGCATCCGAAATTTCAGCCGCATTAGTGATTTCATTACCGTCAAGATTGACTTTCTTGACACTGGTTACATCACTCACTTTACGAGAGTTCAGATCGTTGACTAGTCTCCAAGTTTTCCTTGGATCTTTTCGTGCAGCCTCAGTATTAGTGATAAAGTAGTTATGTTTAGCCTGCCTAATAATGTTGTTAGTTTCATTTCGAGCTTTCTTATATTGTAACCAAATTTCATCGTCACGTGTAATATCGAATTGCCTTTTTAGATAATCTCTTTCGCGAATTTTCTGAACTACATGTGAAGTAATCCAGGGAGACTTTCGTTTCCCTATACGTTTCTTTTTAAGTGGGGCATGTTTATCAATCACAGACATAAACAAATTCAACCATTCAGTCCACATATCATTAGGGTCGTTATGCAGACAAACCTGCTCCCAATTTAGATTATTTAAATCATTCAAATATGCATGTTCATTGAAGTTTCTGAAATTTCTCTTTTCAACAAAAGTATTTACCGGTGCCTTATGATATGTACATTTCCGAATAAGGTATACCAGAGAATGATCACTTATACCAAGAGAAAAAACACCGGAAGCTTTTACTTTATTATTGGTAATACATAGATCGATTAATGTTTGTGAGGTATTAGTTATTCTTGTAGGTTCAGAAATTGTCTGTGAAAGATTGTAAATATCAAATATATTCAAAAGCTCAGACGTGTTGGAATTTGGTGTGTTTGACAATAGGTTGCAATTCAAATCTCCAAGTAAATACAGTTCGGAATTCTCACGTTGATATTCGACGTCATAAGCACGATCAACTTTGGTGTTTATGGCGTCGATATTCGGCGTCATAAACACGATCAACTTTGGTTTTTATGAGGTCGATATTCGACGTCATAAACACGATCAACTTTGGTGTTTCTGACGTCGATATTGGACGTCATAAACACGATCAACGTTTGTGTTGATGACGTCGATATTCGACGTCATAAACACGATCAACTTTGCCGTTTATGACGTCGATATTCGACGTTATAAACAGTATCCACTTTGCTGTATATGACGTCGATATTCGACGTCATAAACACGATCAACTTTGGTGTTTATGACGTCGATATTCGACGTCATAAGCATGATCAACTTTGGTGTTTCTGACGTCCATATTGGACGTCATAAACACGATCAACTTTGGTGTTTATGACGTCGATATTCGACGTCATAAACACGATCAACTTTGCATTTTATGACGTCCATATTCGACGTCATAAACACTATCCACTTTGCTGTTTAGTACGTCGATATTCGACGCCATAAACAACATCAAATTTGGTGTTTGTGAGGTCGATATTCGACGTCATAAACAGGATCAATTTTGGTGTTTATGACGTCGATATTCGACGCCATAAACACCATCAAATTTTGTATTTATATGACGTCGATATTCAACGCCATAAACAACATCAAATTTGGTGTTTATGAGGTCGATATTCGACGTCATAAACACGATCAACTTTGAACACATTCTACTATGGGGTCCAATATTCTATTTACCCAAAAATGGTGCCAATTTTCGTATTTTTAAACAAATTTGTCCAAAACTGAAAAACCCCCAGAAAAATTGGTGCTTAAAAACACCTTTTATGCAAAAAAAAGAAAGAATGCAAATTTTCTTCTCTTGCTAAAACAACCAAATTTACCTAAAATTAACAACACATTTTATAGACTGGTCTGAAAAGGATCAAATAATGCAAAAGTAGCATGACAGCTAACAGTGAAAATATGTTGGTTTAACCAAAGGCATCTCTCATCAATTTATATTTGGAAACTATATCAATGTTTCGATTTATCGACACCATGTGAATGTTTCAGTTTATCGAGACCATGTGAAATGTGAATGTTTTGAGTTATCGAGACCAAGTCATGCAATGTTTCGATTTATATGTTTTAGTAAATGAATATATATCACAACAAATGTTATCACTCCACAATATTGTAATATTTATCAGTGCATCATATTAAAGTTAAGTATGACACATACGTTGTGTTTTTAAATTGTATAGCATAATAGCAGTTCATTTGGTTACATTAAAAAAAAGTTTCAGAATCAGCAATTTGATATGCTAATTTAGTAAAGTTCAATCTAACCTGCATGTAAGCAGGCTCACTATAGGTGCTTTAGAAACAGACAGTACATGCATGCACGTTATTCCTTCTCAATTGCTGGTGTTGTGGTATCGCCTAGCAACGCACGACCATGACGCAATTCATTTGGGTCAACTTTACCTTCCATTGCCTCAAGAAATGAGGTCCCATCGAAATATGCCTCAATTTTTTGAATTTTCAAATCACTGTTGACGGTTACACGAAGCATACCGTACAGTTCAACGAGCTCCCCGTTGCCTGGACGACCACGATATTCTCCTGTGAATTCACCCCAATGCCTCCACGTGAACACGACATTTGGTGGACCACTGAAAACGTTTAGCACTTCCCATGGAAAACCGTTAACTAACGCATCGCGAAACAGATCGTGTGACTTTTCAAAATGATCATCCAAGCCATCTAAAAAGTAACAAAATCACTAACAAATTCTTCTGCCAGCTTTTGTTTTCAATCTTACATTTTTACTATTTTTCTGAAATGATATATTCTTTGTTCAAAAATTGTTTATTAGCTCTATACTGAAAAAATATAAAGTAATACAAAATTTGGGAGGTAGCTCAGTAATTTTCGAATTGGTCAATTGGCCGTCAATCAGAACACACTCGTAGTGAGTTTAGTGACTAGAGTAGAATGTATAATAATAGATTTTAATCATTTTATTAGTCATTCAATTATATTTTGCGTCAAATTTACGTTGTTTTTTATTACTTGGTCGGGTGTGTAAGAAATTATATAATATTATACATTACAAGTATCGCCTCATTTTTCAAGCCAAAAAATACAGAGGTAAATTAATTAATTGCTAGTACAAATTAAATAATTAATGTCTCAACTGGTATGATTATCTGCACCATTACAATTTCTAAGTTCAAACCGTTTTCATACTGTGAAAACGGTTCTCCTTGAGTTCGGTTTTTACTCAAATGAAGAATTATCTTACTACACTTACACTTTTCGTAAGCAGGACATCCTTTTAACAGTGCATTATAGTTTCCAATTTCAAACGCTTTCACGCCATCAAGTATTTCTCCTCCATTAGTTTGAATACAGTAATTTCCATGATCTATTGTCGTCCATTGTAAGATGTTCTTCTTATGTGATGCTTCCATTTCCCAAGTCTTAACAAGATTCTCAACGACCTCTTCTAAAGAACCTAGACAAGCCGATTTATAAGACATTGTCAGTGCAGCCCTACCACGGACTATCTGTATTTAACAAATCATTTATATATTGGACGAGGTTTTTGTGATATCCGAAATTATCAAAGTCCAGGTAAGTGTTATCATTCGAGCCGATAGCCTGCTCGCAGACGTTGTTATTCTTACGCTAAGCGACGAAAAACTCACGTCTGCTTACCCGAGCTGCACATTCAATTCCCTTTGTTTTAAGAGCCAATCATCTGGCAGTGTTCAAAAGAGTTTAGAGCCAATTGGAAGACGCCTTATTGAGGGATTAGCTACTGGGGAAAGCCCTAATTGTACATTGGAATATATTGTTTGGGTTTAAATTTGTTTACTTGTGTGGATATATTTTGGAAACTATAGCTTGAACTTCACGATGTTTACATAGAATAATATTGTGATCATCTTCTCGCATGTTCTGCAAACAATCGGTGTATATAAAATCCAATAGCGATGCAGTATGCAAAATTTAAATTTTTGTTAACAATGACAAACAATCAATCGGGAAACTCGAATATATCAGGATATGTCCAAATGTTTTTCTTGATACTTCCTATATGCAATGACTTCGACGAAAACTTCTAAAAGATTAAGCTCTCGTTGTCATGTAGAAAAGTATAGCCAAGTTAGAGTATAAACGTTTCGAAGTTTGGGCGAATTGGGAAATTCATATCGGCGCAATTACAAGTTTCTCGGGTTTGTGTTGTATTTGTGATCGCATTCAGGGGCCAGTTCCAAAAACGTTGTTAAGTTTAACTATGATTAGCGTTAATCACTGTAGTTAAATCCTTAACTATGATTAGTTAACTACACGACTTAATTGCGTTGCACAAATTAACTAATCACGGAGTTAACTTGCGTGGGGCTTGCGTGGGGTGGTTAAACAATAAAATTACATAAGGTATAAACTGATTAAAGACCGCTTACAAGCATTTTTAACATGATCGTGGACTCGCATTTTGCAAATAGGTGGGTATTTTATTCAAAATAGTGAAAAATAAACAATTATAGATCATGTTTCTTCGTGTAATGGGCTTTACGTGCTTCAAGAAATCTTCCCGTGCAAAAATATATTTTGTTTTCGCAAAAAACACCAAAGGGATATGTAGCGTTTGAAGAGTTTATATTGTCAGGAAACATTCACAGCTGGGAAAATAGCGATTGAAAATCCCAGGTAAGCATTGCTTTCATTATTGTTTTACTGAAAAATGTTGTTCACTCCTATAAAAGCGCCATTTTTAACTACGTTTTGAGAAGTTAACGATACCCCAGGTCCCCAGAGTATAGTTAACGTACTTAACTAATTTTTAACTGCAGTTAACGCTAACTACGTTTTTATACAACCGACTTAACTATGTGGTTAAAGTTAACCACTATTTAACTACAAAATAGTGATTAAAAAGTAATTAAGCGTTTTATACAACTGGCCCCAGAAATGGTTGCTCAAACAGCAAATTAGTTTACTTTGAAGCTATAAATATTTCGCTTTCTAAGCCACAGTATTAATACTATATAACATTTTCTGTCTTCCGAGTTCTGTTATCATATAAAGATAAACCGCATCCGTCAAAAGTTCAATTTGATGCTGTCTGGCCTAGATTCATAAATATATGCCATCCTGTCCGCGTTTTAAATATAACCAAACATCTTCAATATCCAAATCTGATCATTAATGGTGCATTTTATTACCTGGGCAAGTATCAATATCTTTAAATTCAATTTATGTGCAATTTTGACCAAAATTCAACCGACGACTGCTTTCAAAATATTTATTTATATTTATTCCGCTCCTAAATCAACGACGTCACTTTCCAGAATTTGGAAGGTAAATTCTGATTGGTTGACGTAGCGGAATTCAGTTTGGCGCTCGGGTAAGCAGACGTTAGTTTTTCGTCGCTTGGGGTAAGAATAACAACGTCTGCGAGCAGGCTATATATCGAGCCGAAGGCGAGACATATGCATTTTATTTTCATTACCTCTACAGTATATATCTCTATATATCTCAAAACAATATTAGTGAAATATCACGATAAAAATAAAAACACTAAACTTATTTACTACTAAAATTCCAGTAAAGGAGAAAAGACCAGAGGATAAGCACAGCCACATACCAAATTTAAGCAATCGTGAAATCATATACATGGAAAGAATATGCAAATAATGTTGGAAGCACCGCGTATTAACGGCGAAAGCACCGCGTATAATGGCGAAAGCACCGCGTATGTTGCTCGAACCACAGCGTATAATGGCGAAAATACCGCGTATAATGCCGAAAGCACCGCTGTATAATGCTAAAAGCACCCAACAAAATGCCATTTGATCACTTAAGCCAGCTTTCCATAAAAGAAGACCAAATATGAAAGATGATCACATTGCCTATTTGCCTGCTTATAATTAGGCAAGAATAGCCTGCCGGCCCGAACGCAGTGCATTGTAGTGGACCGAAATAAGCCGAAACGATCAATATTTCACTGTCATATATACATATCGCTGGATCAACCTACAGATAACACTGTTAGGGACCGGTCATAATGTATGTATACTGGAGGGGTGGAGGGTATTCCAAAATTTTACCATAAAGCGTCGGAAAATATTGATGAAATGTTTCGATGTAAGATGAAATCTTTCGTATACACCCCACCCTCCCCCGCACCCAACAAATCACCCTCTCCCCAATAACATAAAATTCTAAGAACATAACTGTTTTGCAAATTATTGCAATCCATAGTCTGTATTGAAATATTTAGCGTAGTCAATAAATAAAGAGTGTTGAACATGATTGAGTGAGCGCAGCGAACAAGCGAAATGTCATGTTCAACACAAGAAATAAATTTGGTATTTCCAAGCACCCATGTATTTTTCTGTTTATTAGATAAAGGACAGTCTTTGAAAAGCGATAATTTTTACAGAAAAGCGATAATTGACTAGCGATAATTTTCATATGATTGTGAGATTATCATAAATAATCTCCCAAGTGAGATTATCACTTTTATCAGTGCTCGTCATCTCTATAAAGCACCTTGTGAAAATCTGGGTCAGATCTAGAAAAAAGGAAAAACATTACTCAGAATCTTAATACCAATTTTTATACAAAAACGCTCAAAACACGGCACCAATTCATTAATTAAAAAAATGTGAAACCAACAAATTACTTACGAAATTATTTGCTCTTACTAAATATATATTACTTTGCTGTACGTGGGTGGAAAGCGATCGGATTAAGATTTGTGTCAGGCTATATTTCTAAAATAGAGCCTGATCTAGATCTCAGTCAATTTAGCCAAAATTATATTAGATAACAATTATTTTGAATTCGGTGAAAAAGTGTATAAACAAAAGTTAGGGACAGCCATTGGCACAAAATTTGCTCCAGCGTTTGCAAATAATGTTATGGCAGAACTGGAAAATAAAATGCTGGCGGGGTACCACTTGAGTCCTTCAGTATGGTTCAGATTTTTGGATGATATATTTTTTATTTGGCTTCATGGTAAAGAATCCCTGTTGGAATTTTTAAATTATATTAACAATTATTATGAAACAATTAAATATACATGGGAATATTCGGAAAAAGGGGTGTCTTATTTGGATGTGCGGGTGGAATTGGAGTCTGGTAAATTGCAAACGGATGTGTATTCAAAACCGACTGATACACATCAATACTTAGACTTCAAGTCTTGTCATCCTGCACATGTGAAGAAGGCAATCCCCTATGGTCAGGCGCTAAGATTAAAACGGATTTGTAGTTCGAAAAAAGTTTTTCAGGATAAGCTTAAAGAAATGGAAGGTCATTCCGAGGATTTAACAAAAAGTTGGTTAAGGACCAGTTTTCTGAGGTTAAAGTTAAGGATAGGGCTGAAATGTTACGCCAAACGGATAAGAGGAAGAATTCTAACTTGGGTAAAAGAGTACCACTGGTAGTAGAATTTCATCCGGCATTAAACTGGAAATTAATGAAATTCTGGAGACATCGGAGAGGACGAGGGATGTCTTCGGTAGTAGGCCAATTGTTTCATATAAGAGACCAAAAAATTTAAAAGATAGTTTGGTTAGATCTAAGGTTAAAAAGGCTAGGGAGGTAAGTGTTGGGATGAGTAAGTGTAATAAGAGTCGTTGTCAGATTTGTAATTATGTAGATGAGGGGAAAGAATTTCTCGAGGGAAAAGTAAAATACTACATTAATTACAACTTTGATTGCGATTCGGCTGGGGTGATTTATTTGATTTATTGTAGAAAATGTGGGAAAAAGTATGTGGGGAGTACAATTACTAGTTTTAGGAAACGTTTTAACAACCACAAAAGTAGCATGAATAGATATGGGAGAGGTGAAAGGGGTATGGCAGGCGAGCATTTGTATGCTCATTTTTTTGATCAAGGTCATAATGGTATGCAAGATGTGAAAGTTAAAATTATTGATAAAACTAATGTTGCATGTCCCAAACAAAGAAAAGGTTTTTGGACTTATAAACTGAATTCGTTTGAACCGCATGGGTTGAATTTAAAAGACTTTGTTTGAACAATAGAGTTAATCAAGCGAATTATTATAATTAGGGTATGGACAGTTTAAATAGTTGAAATCAAGTGTACACATTGTTATATGAACTCTGATGTATCATTGATTGATTTATATATAAATGTTGGGCTCTAGAGAAAGTTGGCTCAGTGATAGATTTATATATATAAAAAAGTAGCATGATATATTTTCTTGTTTTAATGAAAAAACAGCTATATATATATATATATATATATATATATATATATATATATATATATATATATATATATATATATATATATATATATATATATATATATATATATATATATATATATATATATATATATATATATATATATATATATATATAGAG